CATAACATGCTAACTCGGACTTTTACACTAGGATTGCGTGGCTGACATCGGATGGACAAAAAAAGAAAAGAAAAAAGACAATAAAAGATATAGTCACTAGTATTCTTAACACTTCACCCTATATATACACACCCTTCTAATAAACCGCTTCCCTTGTACCAACCTTGACTTCCCATCCTTCATGTGAGCTTACTCCAACTTATTAAACATCACTACTCGTTGTTCTTTATTAGTACATTTTCTAATATGGAGCCTCTGACCTCACTTCACTCTAACAAGACATAATATGAATTTATTCTAATTTATTATACCTCTGTCCGTTCTACTACACAATGTTAAGCAACCTTTGGCGTTCATATCCAAGTGCCTTGCTGCTCCTCTGTTTCTTTTTTTTTTCTCCTTCAGAATCTTGCTCTGAGAGCACAGCTATGAAACTTCTGACATTTGGAGCAAACTTAACGTACGCGTCCTCTCAAGGTCATAGTTTACAGCAAGCGCTCTACGATTTAACTTTACAACAACTATAAACTTAATAAGTTGGGAAGCATTTTGCGAACCAACAAATGTTGTAATTTATAGATCATGCCTGTAAAAACGGTGTGTACCTGCACATGCAGAAATATATTATTATTATTATTATTATTGTTGGGATACCTTAGCTTAGTTTTGATGACAAAACTGAAGGCTATGACGGCATGATCGCTCTTTCCCAGAGGAGCCAGGATTGAGAGGTTGTCGACTAGGAATTCTTCGTTAGTGAATACACATTCTAAGCGCGATGGTGTCTGACTGTTTCTACAACGAGTTGCCGACCTCACATTTTCATATAAGCCCAAGTTATCGATGAGGTTGAAGAACCGAGCTTCAGTTGAGTTGTCGCCTCCAGTGTGCGTGTGTTCCGCGAAGTTGACTCTAGGGAGATTAAAGTCCCCTAGAATCAGGATGTGTGTGAAACCGAGACGGATAGAGCGGGATAGTCCTTATAGCATACGACTATCGTACTCGGTGTCGGCAGTTGGCTTCCTGTAAATGACTCCGACTAGACACCTGGAAGTACTAGACAATCTTACAGAGCACCATATGGATTCCTCAAGATTGTTAAACTCGAGGTTATGAACTTGGTGCACCTCCAAGCAAGAACGTATGTAAACAGCTACTCCGCCCCCAATTCCTGATTTTCTGTCATTGCGGAACAAAGACATCAAAGGTAATGCTAACTCATGGTCCGAGAACCGAGAAGATATCCAGGTTTCAGATATTCCTATCAGATGGGCCTTGTTAGCGTTGCTAAGTTCACGTAGTTTATCCAGTTTGTTTGGTAGACTCGCGGCGTTCATATATAAGCAGTTTATGCTTTCAATTTTTTCTGTATGAACCTTATGTGAATGGACAGGTAGCCCACCTATATGAGGTTTGCCGAGGTGGTAGGCCCTGTCCTTTACACGTCTTTTTTATCGTTTAGACAGTCCACAAGTGGAATGGTCAGCTCCAAATTGCCTTTGTTCTTGGTCCTAACTTCGTATGGCCTATCCGGGTGCATGTGGATTCCAGGTGGCAATCGACGTTGGTACTAGTGTACTTATCTTTACCAATAGAATAATTAACCTAATCTGAAATTCTGGACCTGTTATGTTGTGACTACTCAGTCTTTCAAACCTCACTTCAAAGTCAATTCCACATCTATACTGATATATTCTACTTTAACAGTCAGTGTTTTCAACTAAGGAAATCTGTAGAACACACTTGGGACAGTTAGAGTAATACGTTTTATATTATACTATATAGGGTTATATAGAGTCGGTCCATACATTCTCGACTCTGTCGTCCTGGTTTCACTCTATGTGACTTTCTCCTTGTCTACAGTGTTTAATTCAGGTTATCGCACTAATCGTATGTTCGGCTTCAAGAATCGTGTGCCGGAGATCCGATACCGCTGAGGATGTTCTGACAGATAACCTTACTTGTCAAGTAATAATATTATTTGACATATTTCTCGAGCGATGTAAACTGTCGGGCGGTCAGGAATATGCAATTATTTATCCGGAATACAAGATTAGGGGTATATACCTGAATAATAACGACCATGTAGTTCGCATAACTGGCATAGCTATGAAAATAATGTAAATGGTTATTCGGAATAGTAGCCAGTCTTGTGAAATAAAATTGACATTTCGTCCAGACAACAGCAGGCTTGTAGGGAACAACTTCCACGCTTGGTTGGTCCTTTTTGAAAGGAATTTTTAACCCAAAGAAAGATAGATGTGTAGCAGTAGTCATATGTTTATATACATATGAAACGGCTTTAGCGCCCAACATTCTGTAGTATGATTGCACAATATGATGCTATCTTTAGCATATGTACTTTATCGAAGTATATTTTAACAATATTTTATTTATTTTATTCTGATGGTTAGTCTGAAGCTACCACTTTTGTGGATGATTAGACAAACTCTCTTGACTATTATTATCATTTTAGAGATAAATAGACGCTCCTAATAATTAGTTCCGAAAGTCTTCGACTACCATCTGCAAATCTCTCGCAAAAGGTAGCCAGCTCAGATAATATATTTCTGGATGTATTAAAAAGAAGTTACAAACAATAGCGTTGTAGAACTATGGATATTCGTGAAATTTTTATATTTGAACTCAAATACATCCGAAAACACAAAATTACTAGGATTACTAGGACCATGGATCTCGCAGTAATTTCTACAGATCTTATCAAAGTTTTCGGTAAAGCCTTTCACACAGGAAGTTAATTAAACCGGTGTTTTTTGGATGAGTTATAGGATAAGAAGTTTTATAATTCATTATCCCACCTGATGAAAGCAATGAGTAAGAAAAAATGGTTCTTCAGAAATATGAAAATCTGTCAAGAGTGACGATGCTAAGCTTCGTCTTCACTTTGTTGAAATGATCTACACAGCTCTGCGAAGTTGCTACCTCCAAGTTTCATTATCTGCATTAAAAAATTGAATAATTCCCAACCTGTCCGATAAAATACCAACATAAATTTTTTTGAATGTACTGGTGAAACGGACGAATTGATGGTGATTGAACAACCTTCACAAACTTTCTGAATAATATAGTAGTGCAAATTGGATAGAGTGGAAACCTACGTTTTTACAGAATAAGGGAAACAGTATTACCTAATACGACTGGTTACAAAGACTCGAGGTTTAAAATGAGTAATAATCTTGAAGCTGCGAGCAACACCTGGACGCTTGCTGCCAAAGGTTCATATGTCCTATGTTGTATTAACAAGACACACCCTCATTTAACCGGAGAAACTTCCAGGATATTGCACCTACCGTTTATAAAACAGCGTCTAGAATATGAGCTTCAGTCAATGAGCCCTTATTTCAAGAGTCAAGCAAGTATTTTGGAAGGCGTTCTACAACGAAGGAACAGAATAATGAAAGTACTGTCTCACCTGTTGAGAATTCCTAACTTACTTTTCCCACTCTCACAGCTCCTAGGGAGGTGGTCTAACACTAGCTTGCTGTCTACTAGGGTTGTACGGTTCTCATATATTTTCCCTTAATTGACGACCGGTCGTGTGAAGAGGGGTTCTCAGACAACATTGAAAGTCAAAATCAAATCGTCCCCTATTATCATTTCTTTTGTCTCATGAAGTCAGGGATTGCTGAGATACTCTGCCGGACCATGCAGTACGAACAATTTATGTTGATACAGTCAAAAGGGAGGTTGAATTATTGCGGTACTACAAGTCGTGAAGTTAAAAGCACACTCCACTTGACCTTACATGCTGTCCTATGAGGACTGATTATGACTCATTTAATCAACAGTCATCATCTTCTGGCTAGTGTTCAAGTGGACGCATGTATACATGACATGACAGAAACAAACATACGAACCTATGCCTACTCATTCACTTATGGTAACATATTTTATTCGTTGTCATCACCATTTATCCTATACGTTTTACATATGAACTCCATTTGCATTACTCAATCAATATTTTCGCCCATCATTCTTTCTAGTCCTGTTCATCCCAATCTGAAAACTGTACCACGGTTCAATAGATGAACGATCGGTTCCAAAAGCTATAGATTCTCGAATACAGTGTTGTCAAAAAATGAAATGCCAAGGTATACGGAAACATACTAAGTACCCTGAACCATAATTCAGCACAAAAATGCGAGCCCAAAAGTACAAATTATTAATACTCCATATTGGATTCGACTTATTACGTGCTGATCGCGGCATTTCGCCCTCAAGGTCGTTTGTTTCTCAACGGTAAGTACTAGAGGTCAAATGCGTTCTCCTGCTGTTTGAACGTCAGCCAAGTTCGAATCGCGTCCATATTTCATTTTAAACTTTATTAAATTATCACTCATTTTTCGATTACAACCATCCGAATAAGTTGACCCGCCTGTCGAGGTCGAGTTATGTTCAACTTAAAGTATACCCGCCATTGTGGAATTATCGGTTGCCGCGTTTGCACGTTAGTTTCAGCATAACAGCTTATTGTCAACGGATGACTATTTAGAATTATAGCTCCATAGTAGAGAGTTACCAACTTCAGTGATCAAAACACTGACAGAAGTAGAGTACATGAACGAACCGATCAGATACGTGAAGTTCATTCATCAAAGTAGCCTCAAAGGACAGCCGAAGTCAGTTCATGAATGAAACTGATAATCTACATAAAATGGCTCACCATATTGTGATCTGTTTTAACGCGGATTTTTGTGTTAAAACGGTTTACCTATCCTAATTTTCTTAATTCATTTTTATGGGTCATTTCATAGCCAGGCACCTTTCTCAGTAGCTATGACGGTAGTTCAAGGTTGCCCATATATTCTACGCCTACCAATGAACTACCCAACTTGAAACATCAATAAAAGCGCTGAAGCTATGCCTCATGGATACACCAATCAGATTGAAGGTAACAGGTGTAAAATTTTCGCGCGAATTTCGAGATGTTATGACATTCGTTAGTACCGTCTAAAGAGCGAACTCATTTGTTCCTAATAACACTGTAGGCTACTCGAAATTGGTAAGCATATATGTTTTTTAAACAGACGGTCGATGTGATGCTAGTAAGAAGGCTAGATAATAAGGAGGACCGTCCTTTCATGCACCATGCGTTGGCAACGCTAAATACTGGTTGACCATCCCAGACATAGTTAAGGGTCTGTAGAGAAAATTGTTGTATCTGTAGGCTATCTGTGCTGCATAAGATGTCTAACAGGATAATTGCTTAGAAATTGTTATCTGTAACCATCGTGCCACCGTTTGTACACTTTACTTTGTCTAACCTGTGACTGATGTCCACATTTGAATATATGGTCAGGTTGGTCATGATCTATAGACTATCTTAAGATGAAAAGGATTTAGCCTTAAAATGGTTCTAAAGATAAAACAGACTGAGGCTGTATGTTATTCTTGTTTTTCACCTGCATCGATTCTACCACAAATAATCCGATTATGGATCCATCTTAAGTGTGTTGATTATGTAAAAGCTATATAACGTTCTGATACTTAATGTTTTGGGTATTAGATTGTTCAGCTGTGTCACCTGAATTCTGACCGGTCTAAAAGTATTTCAAGGTCGCCCGTGAGTTGTGGTCTTACCTCAGAGGCTCTGGTCGTACAGACCAGCCAGTTTATATGTCATGGCGTTCCTTGTTGGTTCCTTTTCATCATGCAATGGTGAAAAATTATAGTAGGCCAAATAAATCATCTTCCTTTTTTCGTTTCCTGTTGTGTTAATATATTTTTTCTCTCACCTGACTTGTTCTCCCGGCCCTTCTGTATATAATATGACAAACTTCCCCATTCGTTTGTTGACAAGCTTGTTTCCTACATTTCCCTCGTTTCAATTACGCATTATCGACGTCCTCCCTTTCATGTCACCTTGGACATTAGCCAAAGACTACTTGACAAACTAAGCAACTATTGCATCGTGAAATTCTTCAGTCTTAATTGTTCTTGGACAAATCACAACGCCGTTTTAATCCAGTCTAAACATCCGCACAATATGTGTTAGTGATTTAATGTGACTATTATGATATGCAGAAGTGGATCATTCTCCAGAAGTGTGTCAAGTGAATATAAAGAGTAAAAGTTTACTGATTGGAACTTTGAAATTAGACGGACAACCGCTAAAGTTTATAATTCGTCGTAGGTTTGTTAAAATCGGAATTTATTCTTTCTAAAAACTGAGGTTACATCACGTTACCATATGGTGAGGAACCAAACAGCTTATTTTCTGCATGAGGATTAAAAACATTCATCGAGTAAACATCGTGCTATCAAATTAATATTCATTGTGAAAGTCTGTGAGTTTACGTAGACTTCAGTGACACTGAATGTACAGTACGTATAGAGGAACCAAATGTCCATCAGTGTTGAAAAGTGCCTAAATAGCTTCAGATTTATTAAGCACACCACCTACTGTGATAATGACAACCCAGTTTTTACATATTATCGGTTCCCTCATATTTTCAGCTATCGTTTCGTATTTAAACTTCATACAATAAACCTTTGTTAATCTTCACTGAAAATGCCTTGTTGAGCACATATTTTCACACTTCGTTTTTGAGTTCTGCTTTGTTTACTCATTACACTATTGAGACCATAATTTCTTAATTTCTAATTCGAAATAGTACAAAGACAACCAGAAATCTTATTGTGCAACTGGCTTTTAGAATTTCATTGATACATCTCAGATACACCCATATCTGTAGCCCGAACACACATTTCCGTAACGTATTTGTAAGTTAGTAATGGGCGCTGGAAAATAACTATAACAGTCCCTTGATTTTAGGATAATGGGACATCCTGAACTTTATATGGTCCGGTCGGATTAAGTCTTAAAGATGACAAGTCCGTCTCTGCGGAAGGCAATAAGACCTTACATCCTTTTGACCTTAATAAACAGCTTTACTACTTTGCATTTTACTTAGTTAACTCTCATTAATTATTCCCCCTATACTTTAAATATTTCTCAGATCATCTGAAAGTTACGAGTGTTCGGTCGCATTACTTAAAGATCAGCCACCGAAATGGTCCCAAACAGCTTTTGGTTTGATGCATAAGGTACTTGTTACTAATTAAAGTTAATCTTCTTCAGTAGTGATGACAGCTTTATCCAGCTTGCTCAATGTCCATTCCAAATTAACATGGTCAAAGTATTACTGTACACTCAAAGAAATCCAAACTGTCTCATCCTTTATTTCTCTACATGGATATGTACACTGCCCGTCGTGCGGAAACCACTTAGATAATGTTCAGTTCTTAAGACATATCTCAGCACATTTGCTGGTGAATGAACTCGAACTTGGTTCATTAATGTCTTTCAAATTCTGCACAGAGTGCCTGTCCGTGCCGGATGGAATCAGTATGACCTTACACAATTGGATCCATCGGCATGTAGAACAACACACACCCCTCGCACTAATGGATGGTTGTTTTGTGTGTCCTATTTGTGAGAGCAACTTTGTATCACTTATAAAATTTGCTGTACATTTATACGAAAGACATGTGTATTTAGACTCGCCTTACGTGTGCACAATATGTTACGGATTCAGATCATCTTTTTATTGTGAATTGATATCCCACTTCCAAGATTGCCACCATAAAACAAATCACATATTCTGTCCGTATTGTCTAAAACATTTCGAATTGTCTATTTTGTGGAGTATAAATTTAGGACTACATATATTCGATGCACAGGCGTTTTACACCCACGTCCAGCAACATTGGGAGCAAACGACATATCGATGTACCTCATGTCGTCTCGATTTTATACATAAAAAGGATCTTCAGTGGCACGAGTATTTACACCATTCTGGTCATCCTTTATCAAGGCCTAGTTACCGAAGTAACGCTTGTGAACATTCGTCTCATCTAACCGAAGATCAACTGTCTCTTTCCTATTCAAATCAACTAGTTGCACACACACCACGCACACGACTAAAGTGTTTAGAATGTGGAGAGCAGGTGCGTCACCCTGTACATAAACATTTCAACATGACACTGCGCTGTGCTAGATGCAGATACACTACATCATGTATTGTCGCAGCTAATTGGCACTGGAGTAAAGTTCATTGTGCACCGCCCATACAACAGTCATCTGATTCTAATGATACTCAACCGTGGCACAAGTACATCAACACTAACGCACAGCACGAAGCAGTCCCACCCAGCACTGTCAACGCATCCCTTTACGATCCATGTTGCTCATCAACTACTCATACAAAGCGGTGCAGAAACGAACACGTCCCTGCAGGGTTATTTGTAAGAGGATACTTAAGATGTAACTGTGGCTTCCGTACGATGGTCTACGACTTAATGGCCCGTCACTTAGCAACGAAGGGAGACGCGCATAATTTCGCAAAGTTTGTATACAGGCCTCGGCCGTCATCGTTCTTAATAGTCGCTCGTCCTGCGAGAGCGCTACGCACTTCCCTGTGGTGGCAAAAAAGAATAGCACGGGCACCCCACTTTTTGAACTCTGTTGGACTATCCCAATAAAAAATATAGACGAACCTGGTGACTATTTTTGCTGCAAATTTTTTGGTTGTCTTGGTGTTGGCACTTGAAATTGTTTTGTAATGTTTGGTATGCTCAGTGTACATTAACAGTATATTTAGGTGCTGTTCGTGACTATTTGGATCAGTCAGTCTAAACACAAATACTTGGATAAAGTAGGCGCTCTTTGCAAGATGAACCCCGGCTGCTGGTGATTTAACGCAGCCAGATCTGCCCATTTTCTACGCATGAAATCTAACATGCACTCGCACTTAAATTGAGCAATACCAAACGACAAATAATAAGGTAAAGTCAGCCCCGTGGCCACATCTACATACATAGTGTCAATACTACCCCATCACGCAAACTGATGTTGATTATCTGCTTAAGTAGCGTTACCTCTTATAAAAATTCCATCACCACTGCACTGCTATAAATCAAATCATAATCCGCCTTGTATACCATGCTAATAATCACGACCTTTTGTTTGACATTTTCATAGTGATCACGATATAACATTGCTCTTAAGTAAATAAATAGTTGTCAAGATATGCTTATTTAATGTAACACCTTTAAGGTTACAGAAGGGCAATAGTAGGTCTTATTTTCCCAAAAGACGATGTTTAATGACCACCATTTTTCTGACTGACCATCCTAAATAGACAAACTACATGTCTTTCTTAACGTATTTAGTGGATAATTATGTAAGTTCAGGCGTTAACTGCAAAGATTAAGTATTTTCTTTTGGCATAAACTTCCCGTTTACTATTTGCATAAAAAGAAATATGTGTAAACACAGATTACATGATAAATTAAGCACCAATAACACAAAGGACCTTCAAATTCACCGAAGACCAGAACGACAGTTTCGACAAAAAGGCATTGATGGAGGGTTCGGAAAACCACATGACCTAAAAATATAAAGTGATAAGTTTCCATATTAAGTCGAGCTTATACTAACCAGTTCATGACTTTATATATTTGCATTTTTAAATAAAAATGAAAAATAAATATTGGGAAGTTTTGGCGAGTTAGTCTTAACCTGTTCATATCTCAAAAATGAATTTTGATAATGAATACATTCCACATACTAGGGTTGTTTACGATCAAGACCAATCAACTAAAAAGTTGTTGAATTTACAATCTCATTGGTTTAATGTTACAAAATGCAGTACACCTGAAGAGATTCAAGTGGAAAAAATAGCTGTAAAAACAAGTGTACTTATAATATTATGGTTTTATCAGATAATTCCGAAATTCCAATGAAAGTATTTATAAGTCAACAAGCGATTACATTCATGTGTCACATTATTCTAACTCGGATATATTAACTAATGAGGACAATCGTTACGTGCATGCATTTCAGTAGCAAAGCACAAGCATACGAAAAATCTGAGACTGCAAAGCTGTTATTTAGTTACTAAAACCCTCTTTCTGTAAAATTCAAATGTGTATTAGCTAAAATGAGGTTGGCTGTTTCGTCAATTTGTTGTTACAATTATATACAGGTCAAATACCTAGGTAATATATAAAGTTCTTACCTGCAATTATTCACATTTGGTCCTCCAGGACCACCAACACGCATCCCTAGGCCAATACCACCCATTGGATGTCCACCGGGACCGCTTGGAATCATTTGCCAGTTTGGTGGTTGGTTATGAGGTGGCTGAATGTTGTTCAAAAATCCACCACCCATAGGTTGATTTGCATTGAGCATCCCTGGAGAGTTTGATGGCATACGTTGTGACATTGACTGTGGTGGCTGTTGCAATTGAGGAGGTACTATAGGTAAACGCATACTGATATTCGGTTGATTGTTGGGAGGAGTCAGTACATTTGATACTTGATTATTAATATTCAAACCCGGTTGTAAAAGCATAGCAGGAGCCCGTGTAGGCGTAGATGTTGGAGGCATAAGTCGCGGGTTCGACATGAAAAACGACAAACCACCAGGGTTTTGTGAACGAGGAACATTTGACCTTTGTGGCTGGAAATTAAATAATAAACTAGACTAAAATAACTTTCTCAAACGGGTTACGTGATTGGACTTTCCGTAAATTACATACGTTTGCTAGTAAGACAGATGAAAATCTAAAACTAATTTCGTGAATATACTTTGAATCCTTATTAACTTGGAGTTAGACCCAACGGTTCTGTTTCTCAAAACTTTCGTACTAAACAGTAAGTCAGGTGAATAAAAAGATTTAAGACAACTAATGCACTTAAGATGTATATTATACTTTAAGTATTCGAATAAACCTAGAATAAATATTGAATGGAATAACTTAATTAGAAAGAAATGTATTTGTGTTTTCAGCTTAGTTACAGACCCCTAGATTAAAAAATGAATTGATGGGGTTAATCACTTAGACAAAACTATATCTTAGTGAGAAATCATATCAAAACCCTGGACTGAATTTGAAACAAGCTTTCTGTAATGTGGATTCAAATCATAAACCATAATCCCCAAAAAAGAAAAATGCTCGAAACCATTTTTAATCACCTATTTTAAACGTCAGTTTGTAAAAAAATAAAAACTTCGTACCAAGAGTAATAGGCAATACATTAGCACTATTTAAATATATGTCATCATAATTCTAATCTTTTTACCACAAGTAATTACACTTCACTCATGAAATAATTTGAAATCAAACAAAAATTGTACGGCATTGCAAGAATGAATAGTTTGAGCAGTGTCTATTAATTAACAAAGTACACGTTACATGAGAATTCATACTTCAAAAGTTGTTTTATGAATATTAAGTATCCTGTTGGTAAAATACACTGGGATTTTACTGAAATGCATTTTAACAGAACAAAGGAAAAACAGAACCCTAGGATAAAACACCAAACGAAAGAAGTTTCAACTAAATATTATAAAAGTTTCCGAAGTACTCGACTGTTAGAATTTATTTGAAAACAATGTAACGTCTTGTAATAAAAATATGCAGTAGAGTTCTTACACAATAAGATAAAAAGCTTATGGTGTTTCTCACTAAATAAATAATTAACTTATGATAAAAACTCCTTATAAATCCTTAAGAACTAGCTAAAATAATTTAAACTATAATGCACCGTGAACTAATCTCTCAAACATTTTAAGACTGACATGCTTACAATAATTTCCAAATCATTTCAATCTTACTGGTGTGTACTGAGGATGTCGAAGAATTCGCTGAGCACGCTTCTGATTCTGTGCATTAGCCGCATTGGAAAAAGTGGACCAATTCGGATCTGGGGCCGTCGGATTGGTATTGCGAGTTGGAGTACCATTGAGCTTAGCTGATTTAGGGGTGTCGCCCTCATCATCGACTAAGCGAGGCTTCTTTAATGGCGTAGGAATTGAGCTGGGGAACGGTGTAGTACGTTAGTAAGAAAGTTAAATTTCCAAAAACCCAAAAGATCACTAACTTTTCAGTTTATTAGTTTAGTTAAATAATAAAATAATCATAACAATAAAATGAATAGAACCAACATTCAGAACTGAACGCTAGACTACTGTTTCTATATCTAAACTAAATCAAATATTTGAAAAAAAACTGCTGCTACTACTACTGGGAATTATCTATAGTAACATATTACTTGATTAATTACGTACTATGCATGATGGAATATTATTATGTAAATACAGTAACTCATTCTACTACACGGATGGGAAAACAAAACCTTTAGAATGCAAAGCAACACGACATTCTGTGTGACCTACTACATGTAAAACAGCTTACTAGTTTTCAGCTTACTTAAGACAGATATCGCTGCTAACTTGTCGCCAAATTAAAACATGCAAAGCTAACTTTATTTACTAGGGTTGAATAGAAGCTTACAATGGTCTAAATACGGTTTACCTAATAATCAGATTAATGAAAACGTTTAAAAGAAATTTCGAAACAAAGGTTAAAAAAATCTGACAATGAAACCCTTCTTACCTAGCCACTTCTTCAGTGGGTTGAGGGCCTGGTGATTTTGATTTTGGAGGAGCTATAAGCGACAAGGAAACATTCAACTGCTTGAGGGAGATGTTAAAATATTTAATTTACAGCAGGAAGTGGTTTACAATAAGTCAATAAAAAACTCTACATAAGTTTAACTAATAAATTCCCGTGGATTGAATTCAAATGTTAGCTAGAAATTCATGATACATTAAGGACATTAAAAAACGAAGTTCTGTCCTACGAATAAGAATGCTAAGAAACCAAGTGAAGAGTTGGTAAGGAACAGTGTGAAGGCTATGGCACCCTGTATAAGCAGGACGAAAGTGAAAATACTTAACAAAGAGCTTTTATTAATCTTAAAAAGAAATATTTGGATACATTTTGAAAACCTAAGTGGACAACTGTAAAGCTTTGTAAGAAAACAATCCAATGGGTTTTAGTGCCTCGTAACATTATCATCACTACGCCATGTGAAAAAACTACGAAGGGATTTATTTAGTTATGGAAATTTGTCTTCAATTCCTATCAATCACAATGACCAGATATAATTAAATGTACCGAAGCGAACTCTTATTTTGAATTATTGACATATGATACCTAAAAAACAAAAAAGTTGTGATATTATATGGCAAATAATTTTATATATCACCAAAAACTTGATAAATCCCGGATTAAAATACAACCTACTACTGATTCAAAGTTTAAAAACTGAAAACTTATACAAGTTGGATAAGGCAAAGTAGTGTGAAACTAAACAGTAACGACTCATTTTATAGTCCTTTTAATATTTGTATAATTTCAAAGACAAACAAAAAGTGTCAACACACAGGTATTACAAGCATAGTTATTAAATTGCATCATTGAATACTGTTTAGAAATACTTAATTTGTGGGACAAAACGGTAATTTCTAAGTCTAATTCAGCTGGGAACTACGATGTAACAAATTCTTAAACACCACAACAAAATTGTTTCATGAAATGTGAGACAAAATAATAGTCTCTTGTCTTGGGACAAGAAAAGTAAATTATTCAATACCCGGGATGAATTTTCATACAATGGTAAAAAAGGAAATCCAATAGTCTAACTTGATATCACAGCTTACGTTCAATAGATAATTTAGATTACGTAAAGTAATAAAATACCAAAGCTTAAGATTAATGCATGTAGCTTTCAGTAGTTTTATGGATATTTCACATACAAAAATCTAAATGATACCTTAGATATTAACCAGTTTTATAAATCAGAGTCAAATTTACTGATGAAATTAAACCAAAGACTGATTACACTTCAATGTATTAATACTTTGTAAAACTACAAATGCTTCAAACTTGCAGGTACATTTTTTAAACAGAACTAAAATGACATGCTTTTAGTGTACCAAATAAAATTAAAACTTAACACATTATAACAGTACTCAAGTAAAGTCAACTAAACGCCACTTGAACTGAGTTGATATTTTGTTACAGAAACGATAACCAACTATGATATAAGCCAAAAACAAACGTTAAAAAAAATTAAATAACGGAGTCAAATTACTATAGACGGCTTACAAACGTTTAAGAAATAAATTGGGACAGCCTTTACGAGTACGCCTAATCAAGAACTCAAATGTTTACCTTTAACCATACAAATCATACCCAAACAAAGCTACTAATTGGTCTGGCGAGCGCTTGTTTTTTTATATCCACGATAAAGCTATATTCAGACTAGTCAGGAGCAAATAATTTACTACTACATGAGCTCGGCCACCCGAAAAACTTGATATATGTTTACTACCTATTTATGTAAATCTGTCTTCATAGGCTCCCCTCAAATCTTTGTATAGGTCGTCCA